ATGGCTCGCTTCGTGTGTACTCCTTGGTTAGTGGTTTAGTCCCTGGGAGCTCTGGGGTGTCTGATTGGTTGATATTGTTGTTCTTCCTATGGGGTTGCAAACCTCTTCAGCTCCTTCAGTCTTTCTTCTGCATAATAGTTCTAGCTTTAATTTCTCTGTGTTGCACAGCTTCCTCAGATGCAAACTAAGATTCTCTTTTGATGTTTTTCTTTTCTAATACATGCATTTGGTTCCATAAGATATGTATAAATATGCATACTCTTTCATCTTTCCTTTCTTTCATTCTTTCTCTTAGTAAGCATTTTATTTGTTTGTTGTAGTGAGTATTAGAAAAAACAGTAATATAGTGATGAATTCCCTCATGTTTTATTTTCTGGAGTTGTATTCTCACTTGTTATTTCTTTTTCTTTCTTTTGTGAACTAATGAGTTTGATTGGTCTAGCCTACAGTAACATGCGGAAGACATTGATTTACAAGACTATGTGGCAACAGTGACTACATCACTGAAGACACTGTCTCTCCCTCCCCCATCAATGCTCTTCTATTGCCTCTGCTCCAATTCCTGCTTGAATTCTTGGCTTGCCTTCTTATGATAGACTGTACACTGGAAAAGGAAGCATAAATAACCATTCCTTCCCCTAAGCTGCTTTTTGTCATAGTGTTTTATTTCAGCAACAAAATGCAAACAAGAATATCTACCATCTCCTTTAATATTCTTAAAATATACATTGTGAGGATTCTCAAATCTCCCCTGTGATTTCCAGTTCAGTCTTTGCTGAACAATGAGGTTCAGGGCATAGTTCTCAGGCTTCCTCCCTGCCAGGACCCGAGAGATAGTTGAAGGTCTGAGGTTTGGAATTGTTGTGCTCTCCTAGAAGTTCCTGGAGACTTAGAGGTCAGCTTGCTATGTTTAGTCTCCAGCAAGTCCTCACAGTTGCAGTGTGGTGTCCCAATGCCTTGTAGCTTCCACAAGTCCTGGCATCAACAAACTACCTGTAGCTAGAAATTCCCTGGAGTGTCCTTTCTATCTGGATTCCAGGGCCACTCTTTGCTCCTTGACTTCATTTTCCTCATACTTGCAAAATGACATCATTAATGTCTCAACATTTTTCTTCTTATTATGAAGAAAGCGCTGACCTCAGAGCTCATTCTATGTTGGCACTAGCTCTGCCTATATTTGTAAATAGGCTTTACACTAATAAAGCAGTATGACATAATTTTATTATAGTCTGCCTTACATTAAAACCAAACACACAAACATGAAACTTTACTTAGCTACACATGGCTGTATAATCTGCCTTTTTATGAGTTCTCTTTTACCAAGTATCTTTACTGCTTACTTACACAATGCAATACATTAATCATCAAAATTATTATACAATTATTAAGTTAACCACCAAAACAATAATTCACATTTAACTATTAAAATTTAGTGCTGAACTCATGAGTACCTGTCCAATGGGATATAGCAGAGCTGTATTCCTAGCTTTGTCAATGGTGAGCTACTTCTTAGACAATGAGCTTTATTTTAAAATTGGAGTATAGCCTTCTTTTCTTTCTCTTTTTTTTGTATTAAGGTTGTTACTTAAACCCTCCAGTAAGTTATTGAACAGAAGACATGACTAGAGATAGCCTTACTCCCAGTTACTAAAAGCAAACGCTCAGGTTTGACATATGTTACACCCATGTAGCTATGAGACTAAAAGTTTCTGTCTGTCATAGAAGTTGCCCTGCATACCCAGCTCCCTCTTCTGCCTCTAGAGGGCGTGAGGTGGAAAAATCACTGTTCGCTTGATGGGCTTCTTCACTGGTCATAGACATCATTTCAGCTGTTATCATCTGGTCATGTCCTGTCACTTGATCTGTTGATTTGTTTGCAATTACTGCATATATGTCCATGAGGAACAGTGCCTCTAGCCTGCTATGTGTTCCTTCTTCCACGTACTGTCTATCTTCCTGTACCTGGGCTCATGGAGCGGCCAGGGATGTACTCCTTGGGTGCAATGGTTGTTTCTATTGTCTCTGATTCAATGAACACTGATGCTTTGTGTGTACGTCCTCAGAGAACATTTTTGCATGTGCTTTTGATTTATGGAGTATAGTCTTATAGCACTCTGGCTAGAAATGTGGATAGAAGTAATTCAATTTCTTTGATAACTAGCAACCAATAAGGATTTTTTTTTGAAAGTGAATTTTCATAGAACATTTTTAAATGTCAGTTTTACTCAAGGTATCTAGTTAAAACACTGCTCAAAATATCCCTTAACCCTTTATCTGCTTTTATAACATAATTTGCTATCATTTCCCCCATTTCCTAACATGGCTAATTTGTATTTTTTTCTCAGTTGTTTGTTTATTTAATCAGTCTGGCTGACTACGCAGTGGAGTTGATCTTAGATAGTCAACGTATTTTCATAGCTCTATGCTGCTGTTTTCTGTTCCGCTGCTGCAACCCAGATCATCTCCTTTCTTCTGTGTGCTACTGGGTTTGTTTGATTTCTGGGTTGAGAATTTAGGGATAGGGCATGGGTATCCTTATGTACCATGTTTCTTGTAAGAGATCTTCCTAAAAATAACCATTCAGGGATGCAAAAAGATTCTAAAACACAGAGAAATAGAAGTTTATTGTGAGACAGTGTCTCCTAAAAAATGTCAGAAGATTCACCCATGTAGTCTCAACAACATGGCTGCCTAAGCACATTCTGAGCAAGAACAACACCCATAGATACAATAACACAAAGAGGGACCACTCATGAGACCTTAATTGTAGACAAAGAACTACAGGCAACTATGGAATGGTGAAAGAGATAAAATACAGTCTCCCCCAGGGATGAGGACCCTAATTATTTATCAGTAGTTATTAGTGGTCATTCCTAAAATATCTTATATCTGTACAAGTAACAGTATACAGTCTGACCAAGCTGTGTAAGAGAAAAGGAAAGGAATTACATGGATAAGGTTGGAAGGAGGAAAGGAAATGATGTAATTACATTAAAATTCAATGAAAAATTTAAAATGTATGTTTTAAACCCACATACTGTTAGCAATGTCCTTCTAACTTCTGAGTCAGCAATCTTAAGAGGATGGCATAGTTTAGTTTCATTTTTTTATAATTCAAAATATTTTCCACTATTTTCTTTGAGAATTTTGTTGACACAGGTCATTTTGCAGTCTGTTATTTCCAAGTTTTAGAGTGAAAATATATCATTCTGTTATCATTCTCAATAATATTTGAATCAAATATTCTCAGATAATATGGTATAAAGAATTTCACCATTATAATAAAGGAGTTGCAGGTTATATTTGTTTTTGTTTTATTTTTTTTCTTGGTTCTTTGTAAATTTCACCTCATGCACCCCAATCCCACTCATCTCCCCCTCTCTTCAAACCTGCCCTCCAAATTTGCAAGCTCCCTGCAGCAACAACAAGAAAAGCTTATTTTAGAATTTGTAGTGTTCCCACAGTATACCCTTTTGTCCATACTTATTTGATTTGCAGATGTTTACTTCAATGGCTCCTTGGTCAGACATGGGGCCTCTGGCTTCTGTCACTCTATCAATACTAAAACTTCACTAGTGTATCCTCTTAGATGTCCTGTTGTTGCCCTGTGTCATGGAGATCCTGTCATTTTGGATCTGAAGGACTAGACCTTTCATTCTCATTTGTAGTTCATTGATAGGGTAGATGTTGGGGTAGGCAAACTCAGAGCCCTGGATCTGGGCCTGAGAAGTACCTGGGCTGCTCATCCAGCCAGCTGTCCAGCTTTTATACCCTAGAGGAAGCTCATCTGCAGTTCCAAGGTGGGCCAGACCTACCCTGCTGCTCAGGTGAAGTACAGGAACCACTCTATCAAATGAGAGCTGGTCAGCAACATGACCAGTTTTACCACTCTCACAACACTAGTGCCAGCTCTCCTGCCTGCTGTAGGTGGCAAAAGGTAAGGTGAGTGACGGCATCTCTCCCTCATCCATGTCACAACAAAGCAGACAAGGGGCTGGTCTGCCTCTTATACACTCATGCCCATGGGTCCAGCTCACCTGCAACCCTGACATCCGGGGTCAGCTTTCCTCCACTCACCAGGAGAGGGGAAGGACCTACTCTCCTAAGTGCTGTAGCAGGTGAGGGGCAGGGCCAGCTTTCCCACTCTAATGACCTTGGGGCCAGATCTCCTGCCTACTGTAGGTGGCAAGGGGTGAGGGGATGACATCTTGCATAGTAGACAAGTGACAGGGACAGCTCACCTATAGGGCTAGCTTGCCTGTACCTCTCATCTCACCACCAGGATCAGCTCTACGGTGCTGCCCAATCAAGGTACAGGGCTTATTGTCCCAAGTGATGGAGCCAATGAGGGATAGAGACTCCTCTCCTGATTTCATGCCTCCAGAGACAGCTCTCTCAGGATGCCCAGGTAAGAGTTAGGGTCACACAGCCCTGAGATATCAATATGATTTGTGGAACACAGACTAGACCAGGGACTTCTGTTTGGCCTTGTTGCTGCAGGGCCCTGGACACAGATAGGACCTCTGGTGGCAGCACAGCTCATGACCCCACAATGGTCCCAGGTGGCATCACCAGTTACTAACATTGGGCTATTCCTCACTACCCTCAAGACTCCAATTCTGCCTCTCTGAATTGTGCCCAAATTCTTCTGAGTGTCTGGTCTCAGGAGTGCTATGCCCCACTCATGCATTATGGCAGCATGTGGGGGTTATTTTTCTCATGGTATGACCCCAAGGCCTGCACAATACCAGACTGGTGGTCATCTTAGGCTAGCTCCCTATCGGGGATCCATGGCAATGATTTGGTGTTTGTTTCCAGATCAACCCAACTCACTTGAGTACCCCTTTGCAATCGTTGTCTGTCTTGGGCTCACTCCCACCTGGGACCCGTAGCCACAGGAAGTGTTTTCCTAGTCTTTGGCTTGTTTCCAGTTCTGAGAGCCCATCTGAGCCTGCCTGTTACCAGACTGGTGTTCATCTCAGGTTTGCTTTTTTCCAGGAAGTGTTAGGCTATTAATCATTCAGATGACCATAGGTCAGAATACTCATCATAGACATAGCCTCTCTTCTTTCTGCCACCTATTAGCACACATGTGACTCAGCAGCCACACAAACAATGCCTCTAGAGGCAATATATTTGTTTCTTAAGTAATTTCTATGAATTCTTTGAAAATGTCATCCAGTGTCTTAATACAATCTTCTTACAACTCCTCCCATATCTGCTTTGTCTTTCTTACTCACTCAACTCCATTGGACTGAGCATGGGGTCCCCAATGGAGGAGTTAGAGAAGGGACTGAAGGGACTGCTCAAGAGATTTGCAACCCCATAGGAAGAACAATAATGTCAACCAATCAGAGTCCCCAGAGCTTGCAGGGACTAAATCGTCAACCAAGGAGTACATATGGAGGGACCCATGGCTCCAGCTGCAAATGTAGCAGAGGATGGCCTCAATGGGAGGAGAAGCCCTTGGTCCTGTGTAGGAGAATGTAAGGGCAGGTAGGTGGGAGTGGGTGGGTGGGGGGACACCCTCACAGAAGCAGGGGGAGGGGGATGGGATAGGAGGTTTCCAGGGAGAAACCGGGAAAGGGAACAACATTTGAAATGTAAAATTTTTAAAAATCCAATAAAGAAAAAAAAAACAGGTTCTTTTTTCTAAAGAGTTTTACTTCTGTCTACTTTTACAGCTCAAGAAACAACGCAAGCTGAGTGGGATAACACAACTCTACAATTGCAGCACTTGGGATGTGGAGGCAGAAAAAGGACTTACAGGCCATTATTGGCTGAGTAGTGAGTCTGAAGCAATTGGGGCATATATGACCATTTCTCAATCAGCAGAAGTAAATAAAAAGAAGAAAATAGGGGCCGGAGAAATAGCTCAGTGGTTAAGAGAACTGACTACTCTTCCAGAGGTCCTGAGTTCAATTCCCAGTGATCACATGATGGCTCACCAACACCTGTAATGGGATCTAATTCCCTTTTCTGGTATGTCTGAAGAGAGTGACAGTGTATTCATATACATGAATGAATGAAACTGAGAGAGAGAGAAAGAGAGAGGGAGAGAGAGAGAGAGAGAGAGAGAGAGAGAGAGAGAGAGAGAGAATAAGAGAGGAAGGAAGAAAGATGAGAAGGGAGGGTGACAAAGAAGAAAGAAGGAAAGAATTTAGTTTAGAAATATCCCATATTCACAATAACAATCATGGTTATCTCACCTTAATTGATAGAGTTGTTTGAATCATCTATGACTGTACTGATTTATTGAATGACTGTACTGAGTTGCCAAGTATAGGTGCTGACTATATGTACAGATTTAACTGCCTCAACTTATTCACCGTATGTGCATGCTCACAAGCATAGCCTGTGTGGTAGTTTCAATAAGTATGCCCCCCCCACACTTTCTAGAGGAAGTGTGTCACTGTGGGCGAAGGCTTTAAGGTCTCATAGGTTCAAGTTACTCCTAATGTGACACAATCTCCTTCTGCTGCCTGCAGAGAAAGATGTAAAACTCTCAGCTGCTCCAACATCATGGTTACCTGCACTTGGCCATGCTTCCTGCCATGATGATTATGGAATAAACTTTTGACCTATAAGTCATCCTCAATTAAATGTTTTTCTTTATAAGAGTTGCCATGGTCATGATGTCTCTTCACAACAATAAGACCTTAATTAAAACACCATGTCTTATTTTATATTCCATAGCACTGAGATAATGGTTTGCTCTGGAAATGACTTGGTCAGGTACAGAATGCTGACTTTTTTTATCTGACATTGTGATTAGGTTGTACCTAGTCCCACGAAGTCTGTGTTAGCCTGTTTGTATGTGTGTACTATGGTGTTTTCTTGTATGCAGCATGCACCCCAGCCTTCTTGTTATCCCAGCTCATAACCTCTACCTGAAGCTAAGGTCTTTAATCGCACTGCATGAATCTCACAGTTGACTTGGTTGTTTGAAGTGGGCCACACCGTTATTATCTCTAGCTCTTCCACCTATTTTCTCTTTCTATTATCGGTCTGTAAAAAAGCATTACAATTCAATTTTCACTTGGTTGAATATTAACGACTATTATTATTTCCTTTAAATCTAAGACTCCTTCTTACAATTACGTGTGTGTGTGTGTGTATGTGTGTGTGCGTGCGTGCGTGCGTGTGTGTGTGTAGGTCAGAGGACAACATGGAGCTAATATATATTTTTATTGAGAGATTTCTAGTTTCATTGTATTGGTAGTCAGAAAAGCTGCTCAACAAAATTTGAATGCATTATAATTGGTGAGGATTTCTTATGTGGATTATGTCATGTATTATGTCCTGTATGTTAGTGAAAAATATGTATGTTCTGGATTATTGAAAGAAGTTTTCTCTCAGGTCCATTTTCTCCTCACTTCCATTGATACTTCCCCTTCTTATTGGCCTTCTTGTCTGAATAACTTGCCTCAAAATGGTGTTCTGGATGAAGTAATGTATTATTGTTTGGAAATTAATCTCATCTTCACATTCATTAATATTTTCTTTATATACTTGCTTGGGCACATATATGATAAAATTGCTTCTTGCAGAAATGGCATTATGAAATATACTCCCTTATCTCTTTATTACTTTTTAAATCATTCCATCTCATTTAAGTACAACTGTTCATGTTACTTTTGATTCTGTTTGCATGAATATGTTATGTCTTTAGGACTTTGTACTGCAGAGTTCTTGTCCTATGGCTCAGGCACAGACTCAAGCATCAGAGACTAGAAAAATCATGGCAATAGGACTTCATTGAAATTGTTCTTGTCAGGATTCTGAGGTCTGAGATGCAATACATTCTACGGACAGTGCATGAAATGTATGCACTTGAAGGAGTAATTAGCATGTCACCTCCACCGCACAGAAGTCTGCTACTGAGACCTACAGTTCCATATTCAATTAAAATGTGATTCAAATCATAGTCAGAGCTTTAGTAAGACATTCCTCTAAGTAAAGTGCTTCATTTCCACCTTCCTACAATAATTTTTTCAGAATATGCCTTATATGTTTTGCCTCTGTTGTTTAACACAAGATGTCTAGAAATGGCTACAGTATTTAACATTGTCTCATGCAACCACTTATGATTCTGTTGATGGGACTGGCCATTGCTAAATAAAAAGATTAATCACAATTTTTATGTACCAAAATGAGCTAGAAGCAAGGTAGTTGTTTCATACAAGAGAATTGTGATTTGAAAAGTAGCCATGAGATGGATAAAGAAATGGACAGATAACTAGACTGGTGTTCATGGCAGTATTCTTTAAGATTCTTTCTTCATTCTCTTTACAAATGAAAATACATCCTTGACTTTTGCAAAACCTTCAACAGCAATGCAATCATTTCAGAAGTCCATCCAATGCAGATGTGGTTTGGGAGAAGAATCCCTGAGGAGTTTGTGTGCATGGATTTTGATATGCTAATAGTTCTGTGGGAAAGCATTTTCAATATTCTCTCATAAAGAGGCAATCTCAACATTCAAACAGCCAATATGCAAGGTGATTGCCCTGGGATGGAAAACCAGGTGATTTAAAGAATAATTTGACCCTTAAAATCCCTGCTGTAGAAAGCTCAAATTATTGAGATTGGCTGTCATGGAAACCAGGATCAATTCAGACAAAGCTATCACTGACACAAAAAGTCCTCCTACTGTAGCCAGGACATGCCCTCTGCAGGCCATGCAGGCAGCACACCATAAGCCAGGCACTGCCTATTACTCATGTGTGGCTTCCATATTTAAAGGCAAAGCTGAAGACACAGAAACAAGTGCTTTCTGGCTTCTGCTGTTCCTGCTGCTCTCATTCATGTCCCGAGACTAGACTAAGAATTTACCACATCTGGTATCAAATTCTCTTTGTAGGCCACTGTTCTATTGGATTGTGCTTTTATAAATGAAAGGTGTGTACGTAAGGCATGGAAGAAGAGAGTTTGTTTCATTTCAATTCAAATGCCATTAAGTAGAAGCATAGTAAATGAAGTGGAGAGAGAGCGGGGGAGAGAGAGGGAGACAGAGAGAGGGGGAGAGAGAGAGAGAGAGAGAGAGAGAGAGAGAGAGAGAGAGAGAGGGAGAGAGAGAGAGAGAGAGAGAGAGAGAGAGAGAGAGAGAGAGAGAGAGAGCTAGTGAGAATGGTTGTGGTGACCAACTCTCCCAGTGCTCCTCTTCTCCCATGTAATGTTTTCTCAAGCATCCAACTTTGCCAGCCTCCAGATTACAGCCCTATAACTTGCCTGCCTGAGCTTTCAGACTCCACTGGAGCACATAACATTTTACTAGGATGCTGTTAAATGACACCAGGGGGGATTAAATTTTACACTTTTGTTTGTTTTAAAGATTCTCTAAGGGACTAATTAGGAGAACTTTGGGGTTATTTTTATGCTCTTCCAAAAATCATATACATATTCTCCAGTGGACCCTGCAGTGTGGACTCTGTGAACTCTATACTTTCAATTTCAAATAAATAACAGTCTGAAAATGAGCATAATGGTTTCAGATATTAATATATACAAATAAATTTTAAGGCTATGTGAATAATGTCGATAAAAGGTTTCACTGAAATTTTCATGAATAAGGTAAGTCACGGCTGACTAGATGATGGCTTCTGCATGTGACTAGATCTCTTCCCATCTCCACACAGACAGGGGTTCAAATTGAAAGGGGAAAATTTATTGACATCCCTGAGGTTTTTCTAGAATTTATTGTGTATCTGCTGCAAATATTTTAAGAGATTCAAAGAGGTTTAATTTTACATCTATAAAAGATGACTGTGAAAATTTGATTCACTAAAATGGCGTCATGTGAGTGGCGGGTGTAGATAATAAAACTAGGTCAACATTATGTATTTTAAGCTAGTATTAAGTGACATTATATTTCCTGGAGCTTAAAAACTAATGACTGTATGCTTATGCACTTCTTATTTTTTGACGAAAGCAAGTAGATTATCTGAAAATTGGGCCACTTTCATGAATCCAAGATCTTTGTACTTGACATGATGTGAATCTTTGGGGAGGGGCCACCTTTTCTATATAGAGGATGTTTGTGGCTTTCATGTCATAACTTCAATGAGGTTTCCATGGTAGATATGAGCAGACTCTTAATCATCTCCACTATATAGAAATAAAATGCAATTTT